GCACCCCCAGAGCTAGCGCTGCCCTTCTCACTTCACAAGGCATGACACCGCTGGGGCCCCCCAGTCCCACACCTCGGCCTCAGCAAGCAGAGGGGAGACGTGTCTTCAGTGCGCTCCCTCTGCGCGCACGCGCCTCAAACCGCACGCTTCTCTTTGTTTCTCATCCTTTAATTCAATGTCCTCGTTCCAAGGAAATCAGCTTAAATTTCCCTCCTCTTGTCTACTTTTACCCCCTCTTTGCACCCTCTTTTTTTTTTCATGCAGAGTCCCGTCCGGGCTCAATGGAGCTTAAGTGGCCCGGCTGCATGGTGTAATAGCAGATCCAGAAAACTGCAGCAGATAATGACAGGGAGTAATAGGGGGCTCTTACTCAGCCTTTTGCAGCCTGGGGCACTCTCTGCTCCACACCTGTCTGTGCTGCCGTAATATGGAACTCTCCTTGGTTGCCTTGGCTGCAAGACGGTTCTTCTGAACCTATAAGACAAGGTTTAATGCACGGCAAGATTAAACCCTAGAACTGGAATAGGCACTGCACAGAAAAAGAAGAAGAAGAAGAAATGCCAGTGTTGCTTTTAAATGCACTTTAGCCATGACATCTATTTCCTGCTACAAATAATTGACTTCATCTGGACAAACCTGGAGTCTGGAGTACTTTAATGCGTCGATTATCTGGACCATTTTATAACACAGGAAAAGCATGAGAACTATGAAGTGAATAAATCATGATGTTGCAAGGACGGTAAAATGTTATTTTTGTAACCTATACTCAAGGGAAAGTTCCCTTTCTCTCTGCCCATGAGGGATATTGTTATACAGGCATTTGCCTCAGCCTTTGTTAGACATTTGTGTCTTTAAGAGCCTCATAAATGTGGGTGATTCAACCGAAACACTATCCCTGTTAGAGCATGAAAGCAAAACAAACAGCGGCAAATTAAAATAATCAAGTAGAAACATGCGTGAGATGCATGAGGCATGTTGTTAGGAGAGGAGGGGGAGGTACAGGTCTTAATCTGCTCTCACTTGTTTTCATTTTTCACGCTGAAAGAACTACGCCCTCCTTCAGAAATGTCTCCAGGAAGAAAATTATTGTCCTTTATCTGCGTTTTTATACACAGTCCACTGCCTCAGATAATTGCACAAAAGAATTTTCTCAAATAACTTACATATGTGGTCACAATCAATTTCATATTCATCTAAAATCCAAAGGAGTACGGGGGTTGATTTATGATTCGAGTGTCTGTTCTTTCATTATACCCTCGGGGTTATGTCTATTTTACAGCCAAGGGAATCAACAGCGTTCAATCAAAAAACTAACGCTGCTCTGAAAGAAGAAAGGCCAAACTGAGGTCACCTCGTGCTGACTGCAGGCCAAGTATCGTAGGTTATGTTGATTTGAATCGGCTGTCTAATAAGCTCAGCTAGAGTACTGAAACAGTGCCTGAAGCTGAACTTACATCAGCTGATTTCTAGTCTCACCGTGTCAAATAAAACTAACCACACCTCCACCTTTTTAATGGGCATGTATGCCTCTAATTCCTGTATTTATACTTTTGACGATTAACATTGTCATGCAAATTATTTTTTTATATCTCTTTTCATGTAACCTCTTGTTGATGCCTTTCAGAAATCTCTCATCAGTCAATCACGATTTGAAAGTAAAAAAATTACGATTTATAGAAGAAGAAAAAAGATGGTGCTTCCTTGGTTGTCAAAAGACCTAAATGCAGTAAAAGGAAAGTGTATCTTGTCTGGACTTGACTATAAACTTAGTGTACATGCATGGCTCTCCCTCTATTGCATACTATGTTTTATTCAGTCTCGCCTTGCATGTCATAAAAGGTGTTACTAACACATTAATGAATGCACCCTTCTATTGTCCAATCGTTTACTGCTCCCTGATTCTGTTAGTAGTTTACTCTTGAATCAGACGGGTATATTATAATCAGGCTGGTGATTTTTTTTTTACATCATAGACAGTGACACATTGCATTGTGGGATTGTCGCAGAAAGTGCAGTGGGCCTGCCTGAAAAAAAAATCCCATACTCAGCATTTGCACACTGAAATAAAAGGGCGAGGGGTAAATATCCTGAATTATGTATCAAACCAGAAGTGATTGAACAGCTCAGATAATTGGAATTCTTCTGTATTCATTGATTATTTACACCTGTGCTTTTCCTTGTGGAAAATGTGTTATTGTTTTGTGTATTGTACTGTTTTTTGTAGAATACCGCGGAGAAAACAAACTTATTGATAGACAAAATTTTGAAGCTCGTCAGTTATGCCGCTATTCCCTTCCTAGGGAGCGAAATAGGATCCTGCTTGATCGAAGCTCGAGGGGACCTGCGGTCAATTATTCACCCTCAGCCACACGGCCAGTGGGAGAAGCTCAGAAAGGCCTTTCAGCAGGGAAACCCCATGTGAACCTGGCGGGTCTTATCTGGGTTATGCAGAGCGCTGGGTTGGAAGGAGCCACAGGCAACCATGGTGATACCAAAAGGCTACTGCCACAGTTTACCAATTACAACACAGCAGATCCACCAGCGTTATTTGAATTACCCCGAGCATTAACTTTTTGCTCTTCTCATGGCGAGATGAGTATTAACTTCAACTTCAACCAGATGAAAAGTGGTGAAACTGGCAATGCTATTATGTATGGCAGTGATATCGCTGCTCTGTTTCATGTTGGTGCACAATCTCTAAAGCTTAAGAGATGCCAGTTTTCCTATAGAATGAAATCCCTTTACATTATGTGGTGGGAAAAAGCAACGTGATCTCCAAAACCTGTTCGTAAAAATGTATACGAAAATCTTGAACATACAAATTCGTAACAATACATACGAACTGGCGGTGGTTAACCACGCCCCTTGAGTGAACAACATGGCGGACCATGGCGGATTCTTGAGTGAACGTCTCTCCGCCATGTTGGGGTTTTTGAGGGGGTTAGGGTTAGTATTCTATTCTTACAAGTTAACCTTGATTTCTCGTTAAAAATGCAATCATAACACGTTTATTTTATACTGTTAGACTTCACAAAGTGTGTTAACGGGGTGCAGGTCCCCATTCACTTTGAATAGGGTGACGTCATCAGTTGCAGTCCGTATTTATTTCGTATATATCACTACGAATTTGTATGTTCAAGATTTTCGTATACATTTTTACGAACAGGTTTTGGAGATCAGGCTGGAAAAAGAGAGGAAAGAAAATTAAACAAGAAATTTCCCACATGCTGTTTCATCCCTTTAAAATCTGTTTTTTATGTCAGTTCAAGCTCTTCCTGTGGTGACTAATGAGGACTGTGGAAAGAAATCTGTCGTTCTTCTTCATTTGCTGTTAAATCACCCCGCTATTAAATGTAACAGGAATGGATTTTATAATAACGTTGCCCTTTTAAGCGCAGCCCCAATATTGAGAACAATCAAAATGTACCTTTAATCCAATTCGATCGGACTCCAGGCGTTTGGCATCAACAATGGCTTGAAGTCTTTTGTATTCAGCCGGTTTGTACTTTGAGCTGCCGAGACCATATTTCATCCGCAGTGTCAGTTTTTCTGCATGGATGAAAGCAAATAATATAGCTGTATTAGGATCATTTGAATCGTTGAAAATCCCATCACTCTATATGTCCAAGTCTTTATGCTGATTTCAGCAAAAAAAAAAGAGGGTTTTTTTTAGCAGCTGCAGCTGAAACTCGACGAGGCAGGTGAACAAATACAGGCAATGCTGCCTCCAACAAAAGCATCAAAGACTTGACACCAGTTTAACTTGGGGACTAAAGGTCAAATCTGTTAAAAAGATCAATGGGCAACCGCGTCACACGTCAGCTACATTTCAGACCTAGTTGTTGCTGACTTACCCACATCTCCTCCTCTGTAGTTTGTACTGAACGAATGCAGATCCCTTCCACTCATCCCTGCAGATCCCTATTTGTTTGCATTGGTGCCTGCAAAATAAATATGTAAACATAGAGGTTGTGCAAAGCATGTTGACAAAAGACAAAGTCTCCCCTGGGGATGTTTACGTGGGGGTCATTCAAATGGTTAACAGGATACTACAAGCCTCAAGCAATGAAGCCCATGAAAATAATAACTCTCCCATGGTCTGCATGACGTAATCATCTTGAAGGTTAGTATGCAGTATGCAGGAGAAGATGTAATCAAACACTGAAATGAACACTCACGTTGTGGTACTGATCAATTGAAGACAATAATAATAAAGTTTCATTTTTCATGAATGATATATTCACAAAAAAATGACAAGAATACACAAAATATAACTTGTCTAACATAGTTGAATTGCTGGTCCTCTACGGCAGTAAAGTGAATATTTTTATTTTTATTTTGAATATTTTTATTTCGTTAAGTTAAAACCACTCAACTAAATCAACAGAATTGTTCCTTGACTGAGAACAAAACAATTGACTAATATAAAATATAATAGCAGATACCTGCAGCCCTGCTACAGTACGACAATAATACTGGAGCACCACACAAACTTACACACCCGAGGAAGGGTTTAGAGGAAGGGTTTAGAGGAAGGGTTACAGATGTGACAGGTGAGAAGTGGTATGACGTCATCATGCCATCATACTAACGTTAGTTAACGTTGTTAACGTCAAGTCAAATCGAAATATGACAAGTATTGTGAACAGAAGCAATGGTAAGTTTATCGAAGCCTACTATAAATCAACACAAACACCCATACGGCTAAACACTGTTGCTAACAAATGCAAAAGTGAAATTTAACCCACTGAATCCGAGCTTACCTTGCGCTATTCCCTTTCTCTGTTCAGTTGACAAAAAATTTGTAACCAAGGAAACAATCACCTCTTCCGTTATTGGGCGACTGAGCGACGCAAACGCCGTGCGACACGCCCCTCGTCGACCTCACAACCAATCAGGAGTGCGCATTGGCTTTCCCACATTCCCACTGACGTCATGCGGGCTGGCATTGCCTGGGACCGCTGGTGGAGGCAGGGAACAGCGAAAAAAGGGGAGTCTTCTTCTTCTTCTTTCCCGACTATGGAGGCGCGATTCACTCTTCCACATGCATGGGACTAAACGCGGGGACTTTACCGATGAAGTTACATCTTCCGATGCAGAACCGAGCCGCAGCTCCGCCAGGTGAACAACTGCCCTCCTAAAGGTAAGGCTCGGCTCCTTTACTTACTGCGGAATAATAATTGGGAGGGGGGAATAAAAGCATCTGTGCGCGAGGCAGAAGGGTAAGGACGAAGGTTACACACTTAAACTCAGAAAGTCTCCGTGCGAAAAAAAAGAAGAAGAACATGCTGGCTCGTTATTCGTGTGTGCGCAAACTTATTTCCTCTTCTGCACAGCGCGAGCGAATCTTAATACTACACTAATCCCGAGTCATCGCCCAACACACGCGCACCTTGTTTTTTTTGTTTTTTTTTGTTGGTTGTCTTTTTGAGGGGAAACCTCGAGCGCTGCCCTCCCTCGGGTGCACGTTCGCAGGGATGGAAAAAACTAAAACTTGGCCGGTCTCATCGGACTAAAACTGCGTGTCGGTCTCACTTTTTATTCTCGCACCGATGTTGCCCTTGAATGCGCGTGGCGAAGGAACGAGGCAGGTGAGCGCGAGAGTGTGGGAATCTGTGGAATGCCAGGTCGGAGATCCCGCCCCCATCGCTCTCTCCCCCTCTTCCCCCCCCCTCTCTGCTCCCACCAGATAAGCTTACCTTTTTACCCCCCCCCCCGTCCCATACAACCGCCCCCGGGGTCCCCGTGCCATCCGAAAAAAGCCATATTTAATGACCGCAATCTGGGTATTGAAGCAGGGGAATTTCTGTTAAACGTGTACCGCGCGACTGCAGTGTGCAACAATAACCTACCCCCCTTTTTTATTATTAAGGACAGGATGGACTCACCTTTTTAATGCCCCGGAAGCTTATCGCATATTACAGTCACATTGCCTAATACAGCATTCCTTTTGCATGGTTTATTAGGTACCTCACTCAACTTTTACATTCGCATGTGCATTGCGTTGCCACACTTAGGTCAAAGGTAGGTCTTGTTTGAATTGCAGTTTAACAGCTGTCTCACGTGCAACCTAAAGCCCTTTGCTCATTCTTCCACATACATCTTCTAATAACCCCGTACTTGAACGCTCTCTACAAATCAGTTTGAGAAATGTTATTTCGAAGGAAATGGAAAATGTTGATTTTAAGAAGAAAAAACCCCACACAAGATTCAAGGGGCAGTTATTAATTGTGTTACGATGGCTATTCAGGAAGGGGTCAAGTGCCGCACCACTCTCGCCACGTGAAGGATGTGCTTCCAGTCTCCTCGGCTGCCACGCAAGTGGCACACGGTTATCAGCCGGCATCACCGATTCCCATGAGCCCAGCCATGCAGCAGTAGTTCGATTCCAACCAACAGTGGAAGTGCATGTGGCAAATGAGATCATACATGAACTCTCTACCTCACACACACACACACACACTGATGAGCTCTCCCCCATGATTCACATTAACGTGAAAAGAGACACACACTGCCACACAGCTGACAGCCATTGAGAGTGGTTAACTGGGGAATTAGACAACAGTGGGACATTGGCCTAAAGGAGCTATTTTCTTCATTTTAATAGAAATGGCTTCATGTACTGTAAGCAGTAACATTGCGCTTGGCTCCATGGAGGGAGGTCTTAGCGAGTCGGGCGTCGGACCAACCCGCTGTCAGTTTCATTTGTTCTGCTTCTCGTTCTTTGTCGTTCTTGCTGTACGAGATGAGGATCCGTGTCTGTGAAGCTTTGTGTGTCCGTTGTGCGGGTGGGCTGTTCGTAGATGTAGGAAAAAGTTGGGGCGAAGAGCAACCTTGTACTCCCAGTAGACGAAAACACAGTCTGTTGGTGTGATTATTTGACCCAGGCGTCACGGTGAGTTCTTTTTAATCTGAACTGACAACAGTAGAATAGTTTATGCCCTTTGGTGGGCCTCTCCTCCCCCCTAATTCTGGCTTGAAAATCCAGGCTTAAGCCTTCACCCTTATTCTACACGTCAGATTTGCTTTTTTTCTGTTACGATCAAACAGTATTTTTCCCAAAATTGGAAGAAAGAGGGGGGGAATATTTCCAGCCGGTTTGCCTGGAAACCAAATGGTTATTTGTCTTGTGTCTTAGCGTGGCTGTATTTAAAGTAGAGCGCTGAAGTATCAACCTCTTCTCCGGGCAATTCAACAGATGGTCGGCATCACTTGTGCTCCTAAACGTAGAGCTTTTACAGCAGCAGTCAGCCTTTTCTCGGCTCCGTTACCAACCATTAAATAAACAATTTCATCTTGTTATTGTGTCATTATATTCATAACATGAAGGCAGAATTTATATCCTTACTGATGCAATGCTCAAATACTTACCGATTAAATGTTGATGTCGCACTAAAATTGTTAATTAGATACTTTGAAATTTTGCACAATCCTTCAGATTTGTTCAAAACCACGAGAGAGAAATACTACAGATTTGTACAGGCAGATGTTTTTTTCTGTTGAGGACTCACAGCTACTAAAGTGAGGTTCCACTGTTGGACGATAATGGTTAGAAGCAAGTTTTAGACAACGCCCCCACACGCACACACACACACACTTGGCGGCTTTTTCCCATCTTGCATGCTGTAGTCTGAAGAGAGTTCCTCCCGTGCCTCCTCTGAGAACAACCACATGGTTTAGCAGAGAAGGGAATTTCCATTGCGAACCCTATAAATCTCTCTTTGTTTTATCAACCTGGAGCCCGAAACCAGCGAGCGGATCCTTTACTATTATTGTAAAATGGGATTTCAATATTGGAAGTATATTGTGACGATTTAGCACAGTGTCGATATGCGGGAGGATTCCAAGCTTAGATGTTTATAATCAATTAGTAGCAAAGCCCACGCTGCTTCCTTACCTACTCTACTTAAAAGCCAGGCCAAAAATTAGAGAAGCACACCTCCCCTGCTCAGCTGGCATGTGTGATGGCTTGTGTGGATAAGCCTTGACATGTGCGGCCCATTGTTGATCTAACTGGATGCGTACGGAGATTCCTGAAAGAGCCCTAGATATAATGCTTTGGCTGAGCCCGCCACAGCGAAAGATAATACGGAACGCAAAGCACGTCAGCACTTTTGGAGCTCAGGGGCACAATAGATTTTTTGCCCTCCGCAGGCCCGGCGTGCTGAGCCCGAAAGGCTGCCCCTCGCCGCCGTCTGCTGTGTGGACAGCAGCGGCGTGCTGCCGGAGCCGCCCAGCAAGCCCACTGCTCCAACCGGCCCCGTCTGTCAGAAGCCACCAGGCTGCAGATTTAGCTCAGCAGGCCACGTAATACCTTGTTGAATATTTCAAAGAGCTACTCGCATTATCACCCCAGGCGAACGCTCTCTGTTTGCTGGGGGCAAAAGGAGGCGTGGCACATGGGGGGTCAGACGTCATGGACGGAGACCCGCGAAACAGTCGTAAAAGCGTCTCAAAACCCGGGGCTACGAATACCAAACCGTTGTAAATAACTTAAAAGAGCACCTAAATTACAATTGGTCCCAACGCGTGATTGTTTCAACACATAAGATACAAGCGTAAACTTAAGCCGTGTGCTTTTTGTTTTAGACTTTTAAAATCCGTGGGATCGTGGTATGTAAGTGCGCTCGGTGCCCCCCCCCCCCCGACACACATGTCAGGTTACCAGTGTTAACTGTTTAACAACAGGAAAGCTATTTCCGAACTCTCACATAAACATTGCAGTGTATTCCAAGTCCCATTTATCCAGTTGTTTCCTCACTACTTTCCCCAAAACATGCATCTTCAGTATAAACCATAGCATTTTATAACACGTCTGCTTCCCCCCCACCATTTACTCCAAGGTAAATAGTTTCAAGAATTAAAATGAACACATATGCCAAGGGTCATTTTTGTGGATGAGGTATTTATTTAAATGTTAAGGCGTTTAAAAGTCTGCAACACTGTAAAAATAACTCCTAAGAATGGAACCTGTGTTGACCCATTTTTCCAAACCCAGAAGTTAATGAAGAAAAATACCGTTCAAGCACATGACGTTTTAAAATAGCATTTTATAGATGCAGAGATTTCATCTGGCCGTTATGAGGCAAAGGTGTGGCCCGTGTGATGTGGAAGCACGCACCGTAAAGAGACACAGCATCAAAGGTTAGGAACCTGTCGCCTTAAGGCAATGGTTCTGGAACCAGACACTCTGTAGAACAAAGCTTCGTTAGCAGATCCACCACAATAAGCAAAGAGACCAATCCCAGAAGAGCCCCCACGTCCCCTCTAGCATCCAAAGTGGTTATGTTTCACTTAAGAAAGTACTTCTTCAATGCTACCAGCTGACAAACCCGTTCGACGTGACAAAGGGCTCATTCTTGTCCACTTGTTTTTGAGATGGGTAACCCGTCCCCGGTGCTTCCACACTATGTACAGTTTTATGCTGCAGCCAACTAAGAAAAGAGAACCTTATTGTGTGGCTAAGAAACATCACATTATTAGGTCATAAATTGGATTTAAGAATATATATATATATATTTGCAGACGTCTATCTATGGGATATGAGGAGCGTGACCGCAACAAAACTAGACGCACACAAAAAAAACAACTAATTCTGCACAACTGCAAAGGCGCACACACGTCCTCTATGAATCATTACAGCTAAAGGGGATTTTGTTTTACCAACATGAGGGGTGTGATTTATCTTTTCAATTAAATCCCCTTTGATAGATTATCCATATGCTGCCATCTAAAAGAAACTCTACTTTCCCTTCGGTACGCAGTGACTTTGCAGTTGGAGACATTCAGGCTTTATTTCCAGCTTTTTGAGCCAATAAAAAAAAAACTTTGGATATCCAATGCAAAAGTATTCTCACCTGAACTAAGTCCCTCGTTTGAAAGGCCAGCTTGTGCTGGTTGGCTGACCTGACATTTACCTAAATAACCGCATTCCGTCTGTCTTTCTGCATCGCGCTTCAATGCAGATTGGTGTCCTGATGTTTAATCTACAGGAAATAGATTTTTACGCAGTTTTAATCATTGCAGTTGTTACTTTGCTTATTCAAGATTCAAGATTCCTCTGTTACATTTGACCTTAACGTGTTCTTCCTTTTTCTTTCGATTCTAATTTAAAGCAGATGTTTCTTGTGTCAAACATCCAGC